GAGAGGAGGGCGGCGAGGGGGGGCCTGCGAGCGCGCACAACCGGGCGCCGGGGCAGAGCGCGGGGCGGGCCCGGCCTCACCTCGGCTCTGCTGCAGCAGCAGCTGCACGTTCTGCTCGTGCTCCTTCTGCTGCAGCGTCAGCTGCCGGTCCATCTCCAGGCGCTGCCGCTCCAGCGCCGCCTCCAGCCAGAACGCCAGGCGCTGCTGCTCCTCCAGCTGCATCTCCAGCTCCGAGAAGGCCACCTGCTGCTGGTGCTGCTCCTCCCGCAGCGTCACCACCTGCGTGCAGGCCGCAGGCTTAGGCCTGGCTCCGCATCCCTCTGCCTGGGAGCCCGCACTCGGGCCACCACTGCCCGCCCCATGCCAGACGTCGCCAGGAAAAACGGGGGCCCTCAGACGCCTTCTCAGGGGCGTCCAGGCGGCGATTTCCTGGGGCTCCGCGGAGGCCCAGGCTTCTCGGCCTCCACACTGACGGCCTGGGCCTGTCCTGTGCGTGGTAGGATGTGGAGAAGCATCGCCGGCCTCTGCCCCTGCCGTTGTGACAACCCAAAGTATCTCCAGACACGGCCACATGTACCCCAGGCCAGCACACTCATCCCTGCTGAGAACCACCGATGGGGACAAGGGCCACCCTGGAGGTGCCAATCAGCCCGGAAGGCGTGGTGGACATGGTCTTAGCTTTGCCGAGTAGAAAAGGCTTCCGAGAGAGACCGAGGTGGCCCTGGAGCTCAGGAAGGAGGTGGCAGGGCTGGGGGGGCGGTGACACAGACACACCTTGTCGAAGTACTTGCAGAGCAGGGCTCTGGTCTCCGAGGACGACAGGTAGCTGAGCTTGGCCATGAGGTTCATCTCGCACTGGGACAGCAAGGAGGCCGAGGCCCGAAGCACCCGCTGGCGGCAGGTGATGGCCTCGTTTTTGTACTCGATGGCAGCGTCCAGGGCCTCGATGGCCTCGTCCAGCTGGAACAGCGTCCGCTCCTCCTGCGGGGCACGCACGGGGGTCACGGGTTCCATTTTCCTGAATGACTAAGTCCTAGGCCCACAGCCACAGTTGACCCCTAAGTGTCCCCTCGTCCT